TAACAGGACAAAGAATTAACAGAGAGACATCTGAATTAAACAATAACATACATAAAATGGACCTAATAGATGTCTACTGAATATGCCACCCAAGCACCAAAGAATATACTTTCTACTCAGCACCCCATGGAACTTTCTCCAAAATCGACCACATACTTACTAGGGCACAAAACAAGCCTCAACAAATACAAAAAGGTTGAAATAATTCCATGCATTCTATCAAACCACAATGCAATGAAGCTTAAAATGAACAACAGAAACAAACCTAATAACTACATGAACACATGGAGATTAAACAACACACTCCTGAATGATGAATGGGTCAAAGGAGAAATTAAGAAAGAAATAAACATATTCCTGGGACAAAATGAAAATGAGAACACAACACAACAAAGCCTCTGGGACACCCTAAAAGTAGTCCTAAGAGGTAAGTTCATACTTCTTAGTGCCTATGTTAAAAAATCAGAAAGAGCACATGTAAATAACTTGACAGTACAACTCAAGAAAGAATACAAAGAATTAACAATTCCAAGAGCTGGTTCTTTGAAAAGATAAACAAGATTGACAGGCCCTTAGCCCAGTTAACCAAAAGAGAGAAAGAGCACCTCCAAATCAACAAAATCAGAGATGAAAGGGGAAACATCACAACAGACACCAGAAAGATACAGAACATTGTAAGGGGATACTTTAAAAACCTATGCGCTACTAAATTTGAAAACCTAAAAGAAATGGACAGGTATCATCTAAAAACACAGGACTTACCAAAACTAAACCAAGAAGAGATCAACAGCTTAAACAGACCCACAACACATAAGGAAAATAAACAGTAATACAAAACCTCTCAAATAAAAAAAGGCCAGGACAAGATGGATTTACAACATAATTCTACCAGACATTTAAAGATCTATATTTAATATGACTTAATTTATTCAAAAAGATAGAAATGCGGGGAGAACTTTGAAATTCCTCCTCAAAGCCAGACAACGGCACAACCAAAAAGAAAACTACAGACCCGTATCCTTAATGAACATACATGCAAAAATTCTCAACAAGATACTTGCAAACCACATACAGACACACATCAGAAATATCATCCACCATGATCAAGTCGGCTTTATCCCAGAGATGCAGGGATGGTTCAATATAAGTAAGTCAATAAGTGTCATAAATCATATATATGGGCTCAAAGACAAGAACCACATGGTCATCTCAATAGATGCAGGGCCTTTGACAAAATTCAACATACATTTATGTTCAAAGTCCTAGAGGGAATTGGACTGGAGGGAGCATACCTCAACATAATTAAAGCCATGCACAACAAACCCACAGCCAAAATCATCCTAAATGAAGAAAAACTGGAAGCATTCCCATTGAAATCAGGAATCAAACAAGGCTATCCACTGTCTCCACTCCTTTTTAATCATAGTGCTTGAAATTCTTGAAAGACAAAAAGGAAAAAAAAAAGAAGGCAATTAAAGGAGTAGTAATTGGAAAAGAAGAGATCAACTTATCCCTTTTTTCAGACAATATGGTATTATATCTGGGATGCCAAAAATTCCACCAGAAAACTCCTAGAAATGATTAACATGCTCAGTAAAGTGAGGTTACAAAATTAATCTACAAAAGTCTGTAGCTTTTCTATGTACCAGTAACAAGCAATTTGAGAAAGAGTATATGGAAACACTCCCTTTCACAATAGCCTCAAAAAAAAAAAATCAGAATAAACCTAACCAAAGACACTGAAGACCTCTACAATGAAAATCTTTAAAGAAAGAGATTGAGGAAGATATCAGAAGATGGAAGGACCTCCCATGCTCATGGATTGGAAGAATTAATATTGTAAAAATGATCATCCTACCAAAAGCCATTTATAGATTCAATGCAATGCCAATTAAAATCCCCATGACATTTTTCACAGAAATAAACAAAAAATCCTAAGGTTCATATGGGAGCACAAAAGACCTCAGATAGCCAAAGCAACCCTGAGCATTAAGAGCAATGCTGTGGTGGGGGAGGGGGGTGGGTGAATATACTAGATTTTAAACTATATTAAAGAGCTATAGTCATAAATACAACATGGTACTGGCAGAAAAATAGACTCATAGATCAATGGAACAAAATTGAAGACCCAAATATGAGTACATGCAATTTCAGCCACCTAATATTTGACAAAGGAGCCAAGAATATTCACTGGAGGAAAGACAGCATGTTCAGCAAATGGTGCTGGCAAAACTGGATCGCCACCTGTAGAAGAATGAAACTAAAACCCTATCTTTCACGTTACACAAAAGTCAACTCCAAATAGATCAAAGACCTCAATGTGAAGCCTGAAACTCTGAAACTGTTAGATGAAAACATTAGCAATAACCTACAAGATGTAAGTGTAGAAAAGGACTTTCTAAACCAGATATGTTTTGCTCAGGAAATAAGGTCAAGAATCAACAAATGGGACCTCATTAAATTAAAAAGCTTCTGTACATCAAAAGAACCAGGCAAAGAAATGAAGAGAAAACAAGAAAACACACAGAGTGGGAGGAAATCTTCACCAGCGACACATCTGACAGAGGTTTAACATCAAGAATATATAATGAACTCAAAAAACAAAGAATCATGAAAGGAAGTAACCCAATTAAAAGATGAGCTAAGAGGCTGAACAGAGAGTTCTCAAAAGAAATAAAGATGGCTAAGAAGCATCTTAAAAGATGTTCGACATCACTAGTAATTAGGGAAATGCAAATTAAAACCACTTTAAGATTTCACCTTACCCCAGTCAGACTGGCTAAGATCAAGAGAACAAATGATACTAAATGTTGGAGAGGATGTGGGGAAAGGGGAACACTCATCCACTGCTGGTGGGGCTGCAAACTTCTTCAATCCCTATGAAAAGCAGTGTGGAGAACTCTTAAAAAACTACAAATGAACCTACCACTTGACCCAGTTATACCAGTCCTTGGCATATACCCAAAGAACTCATCCTATCACAGAGACACTTATACATCCATGTTTGTTGCTGCTCTTTCCACAATAGCTAAGAGATGGAGGCAATCTAAATGTCCCTCAACTGACGAGTGGACAATGAAAATGTGGTTCATTTATACAACGGAGTTTTACTCAGCAGTAAAGAAAGATGAAATCATCAAATTTGCAGGTAAATGGATGGAACTAGATACTCTTATACTACATGAAATAACACAAACTCAAGGAAAAAAACAAAACAAAACAAACAAAAAAGTATGTTCTCCTTCATATGTGGATCCTAGCACCAAATCCTTATGAGAGAGTATGTTTCCAGACATAACTACAGGAACCAGGATAATGAAAAGGAACCAGGGAGGTAAAGGAAAAGAAAGAACCTGAAGGAGAACAGTAGGAAACAGGTGTTACTAAGGCAGATATGGGTTAAAATGGGGTTATTTTAATGGGAGCGGGGAGAGAGAGTTATACAAGGAGCCTTCTGGATAAAGGGAAAGTGCTCAAGAGAGGTGGGAGCATATGAGAAGGGTATCATTAATGGAGAAATGGGAAAAATGGGGGAATGTTAAATGGGGAAACCATGGTAGATGGGTTTGACAGTGAGAGAGATAAATAATGCCTAGCTTGTTTAAAAAAAAAAAACAGAGGGAACCATATTAGTCTAACAACCAACTGACAAATTTTACTACAACTAGCTCAAAGAACAAAATATATGTCTAGTCAAGGTTTATCTTAGACCATTTGATTTTTGCCCAAGCATTATCTACATAGCACAAGGTAATTAAAAGTATCAGACTGCTGGAGCTAACCTTCTTGGATGTTTAACAGTCATACTTTGAGGACTATACTAATCTGGCCAGAGGGACTTATAGGACAGTTTTTGCTCCTTGCCCTCCAAGGTCAACTAAGTTCCAGGGGACTATGGAGCATCTCTCAAAATGTCCTGTAACTGTGGTGAGTCACCTGTCCTCTTGTTCAGGGAGGCCACGGAGACCCCACCAGACAGACTTGAAGTAGTGTCCAGTCTACAAAGAGGAGGGTCAACACAGAGGAAACATTGCTTCCATGCTTCCAAGTGAAGCCGTCCACAGTCGAGCAGGACCTTTGACTTATCTTCACATAGATAGAACCCATAAAAGAAAGGAGCCAGGGTCTCTTCCCAAGCCCATGTGACCCCTGAGGAACAGATCCTCAAACAGCCTTAAGTGTAAAAATAAATTTGTTTATCTGGGCCAATTTTATGACCTTAAACATCCAAAAGGACAGTATAACCAAAGATTAAAGGGTCCAGTATAATTTTTAAGAGTCTAAACCCATTTTTCCCATGTGGACCTTGAAGAACAGATCCTAAAGCAACCTTAAGAGTAATATATATATTCGTTTATTTGGGTCAACTGTATGATCTCAAACACCCAAAAGGAAAGCATAGCCAAAGATTAAAGTGATCGGTATATTTCTTTAAGAGTCCATGTGTTTAGCTAAAGGCGATATAACAAGAAACAATGCCAGACAGGGGATCCCTTCCTTTGAGTTGTTGGCCAGGGTAGCTAAAAAAGACTCCCAGAAAGTAACCCAGCATAGAACTGGGGAAATGAACAACAGACACCAAACTTATCTAAAGGAATGTTGGCAACTGATTGTTGCTAGGTGAAGAAGAGCTGAGCTTCCCCAAACAAGGAACTCTAGACAGGCTGACTAGACTCAGCATATGGACTTGCACTGGAGACCTGACAACACAGTGGGCAGTAACAGGAATGACAGAGCATATGGGCTTCAGTGGGCAGTGGGGAGGCTATGGGAGGGTGACATTTGGGATGCAGGTATAAAGGTGAATAAGATTGTTTGGGATGTTCTGTATGAAATATACAAAAAAATCGATAAAAAGACTAAAGTCCATTACAGATATTTTCCCTTGAGCACTTCAAACCCTTTCCCCAAAATAGATCCTGTGCATCTGAACATACCACAAGGGAGGTGGTAGTTGCTGGAGCATGTAACCTCACTATTCAGGCAGCTGGGAGGATGGTTTATGCACAGGGCTGAAACACTGTGAGCGGGACTGTGTAGCCCTGTTGACAATAGTAGCTGCCAATATCATCTACTGTTAGCTTGCTGATTTTTAAAGTGAATTCTGTTCCACTCTGTATTCCAGTGAAACGGTCTGGAACACCAGAATATTGGTTATCAGCATCATATATGAGAATCTTGGGGAGCTGACCTGGTTTCTGCTGATACCAAGTCACATAATCACTAACACTCTCACTGGCCTTGCAAATGATAGAGATGCTCTCTCCTATAACCACAGACAAGAAGGCTGGAGACTGTGTCATCACCGGGCTCCCAGTGGTGGCTAAGAAGGAAAAAAACAAAAATCAGTGCTAACAAAGTAACAAGGTCCCATTCCATTTTTCAGGACAGACACTGGCTGGCCTTATCCCCTAAGGGGAAGCTATGGATCAGAGACCTACAGAGATGTTCACAGGTGTCACCATCAGGTGGATAGGTCTCCCATCATCTTAGGCCTGTTCCCTGAAGTCCCATCCTCACCTGGGCTCCAGAGCAGCAGAAGAGAAAAGAGTTCAGACAGGACTCCCATGTTCAATGTAGGCCTGTGGCTCTTTCTACCAAATTACACAGAGTGGCTAAGCTGTGTGGATTTTGAAGAACAGAAATTTATTTTAGGGAAAACATGCAAATCAGTAATAGATTGACCTACCAACTTCAGAATCAGTGTCCTGCAGGGTTCAGTTCCTTCTAGTGTGCCAGTATTTAGTCCCAGAGGAGTTTGCCTTGGTGTTTGAAAGATAAAACTATCTCTAATTTTCCTGGTCCATGTTTGTTCTTGGGTCTTAAGATATGTAGGTAAAACAGAGACCTCCTTTTGAGACAGCATAAATAGCTAAATGAACCCCAAGACTTTATTTTTTGTTTCAAATTCTCTTTAATATCAAAAGGAATTTAGTCTAAACCTTTCATCTTCCATCATGGCACAGTTATATTTACAGTGGTTGAAATGTTTCACTTTAGAGCCTGGACCAAGGTATTTCCAATCCTAAATGACAATAGATGCCAGTCCAGAATATCTTAGCCAGCAAAAATGCCTATTATAGTTGTGGGGGAAAGAAAAATCTTCTATGACATGAATAGCCTGAAAGAAAACATGTCCACAAAACCAGCCCTTCAAAGAATACTATAAGCAATACAGAGAGCAGAAAAAGGAATCCCCGGGGGCAATGAAAGAAAATAAATGAAGGTATAATTGAGGAAACACAAAATTAGACCAAGAACACAAACAGCAATCAAAACGATGGCAACCAATACACAGTTTTCAATAATAACCTTAAATATCAATGAACTGAACCCCCCAATCAAAAGACACAGGCTAAGTGAATGGATTAAGAAACAAAATCCATTTTTTTCTGTCTGCAAAAACCCACCACACTTTCAAGGTAAAAGGATGGAAAAGAATATTCCAAGCAAATGGTACTAAGAAACAAGCAGGGGTTGCAATTCTAACATCTGACAAAATAGACTTGAAAGTAAAACTAATCAGAAGAGATAAGGATGGTCACTTCATTCTGATCAAAGGAACCAAGAAGATAGTACAATCCCTAACATATATGCACCAAACTCTGGTGCAACCAAATTCATAAAAACAACACTACAGGACTTTAAGACACAGATTAACCCCAACTCAGTAATAGTAGGGGACTTCAATACCATACTGTCTCCATTAGACAGGTCAACTTGATAAAGAATAAACAGAGATGTTTGAATTAAATGATACCATACATCAAATGGACCTAACAGACAACTTTCAAATATTCCACCCAAGCACCAAAGAATACACTTTCTACTCAGCAATGCATGGAACTTTTTCAAAGATTGACCACATACTGGGCCACAAAACAAACCTCAACAAATACAAAAAAATTGAAATAATTCCATGCATTCTATAAGACCACAATGCAATAAAGTTCAAAATCAGCACTGGAAGGAGCCTAGTCACGACACAAACTCATGGCAATTAAACAATACACTCCTAAACAATGAGTGGGTCAAAGGAGAAATTAAGAAAGAAATAAAAGAATTCCTGGAATTCAATGAAAAGGACAATCCAACACAACACAACTTCTGGGACACTTTAAAAGCAGTCCTAAGAGGGAAGTTTATAGCTCTAAGTGCCTACATTAAAAAATTAGAAAGAGACGAAAAAATTGACCTAACACTGAAATTCAAGACACAGGAAAGTCAAGAAGAAATCAAACCGAAACCCAGAAGAAGAGAAGAAATAACAAAAATCAAAGCAGGAATTAATGAAATAGAAACAAAGAAAACAATACAAAGAATCAATAAATCTTAAAGCTGGTTCTTTGAAAAGCTAAACAAGACAAACAGACCCTTAGCCCATTTAACCAAAAGAAAGAAAGAGCAAATCCAAATCAACAAAATCAGAGATGAGAGTAGAAGTATCACAACAGACACCCAAAAGATCCAGACCGTTATAAGGGAATATTTAAAAACCTGTACTAAATTTGAAAATCTAAAAGAAATGCACGGATATATAAAATCATGAGAACAACCTAAGTTAACACAAGAAGAATCCCACAATTTAAACAGACCCATAACATATAAAGAAATTGAAACAGTAATACACAGCCTCCCAACTAAGATAGCCCAGGCCAAGATGGATTTGCAGCAAAATTGTACCAGACATTTAAAGAAGACTTCCAACCAATACTAGTTAAATTATTCAAAAGGATAGAAACACAGGGAGAACTCCCAAATTCCTTCTGTGAAGCCAACAACACTCCAATACCCAAACCAGCTAAAAACACAACCAAAAAAGAACACTGTAGACCCATATCCTTAATGAACACAGATACAAAAATTCTCAACAAAACACTTGCAAACCACATACAGACACACATCAAAAAGATCATCCACCATGATCAAGTAGGCTTTATCCCAGAGATACAAGGATAGTTCAATATAGGCAAGTCAATAAACGTCATTAATCATACAAATGGACTCAAAGACAAAAACCACATTGTCATCTCAATAGATGCAGAAAAGGCTTTTGAAAAATTCAGCATGCATTTATGTTCAAAGTCCTAGAGGGAATTGGACTGGAGGGAACGTACCTCAACATAATTAAAGCCATATATATCAAACCCATAGCCAACATCATTCTAAATGGAGAAAAACTGGAAGCAGTCCCATTAAAATCAGGAACCAGACAAGGATGTCCACTATCTCCAATCTTTTTCAACATAGTGCTTGAAACTCTTTCTAAAGCAATAAGATAGGAGAAGGGAATTAAAGGAGTAATAATTGGAAAAGAAGAGGTCAAACCATCCCCTTTTGCATATAATATGATACTATACCTAAGAGTTCCCAAAAGTACCACCAGAAAACTCCTAGAACTGATTAATACTTCCAGTATAGTGGCAGGTTATAAAATAAATCTACAAAAATCAGTAGTCTTTCTATATACCAATAACAAGCAATTGGAGAGAGAGAATACAGGGAAATGTTCCCATTCACAATTGTGAAAAAAATGCAAAAAATAGCTTGGAATAAACCTGACCAAAGACATTAAGGAGCTCTACAATGAAATTTTTAAATCATTAAAGAAAGAGATTGAGGAAGACATCAGAAGATGGAAGGACCTCCCATGCTCATGGATTGGAAGAAATAATATTATGAAGATGATCATCCTACCAAAAGCAATAGATTCAATGCAATGCCAATCAAAATCCCCATGATATACTTCATAGAATTAGAAAAATCCATCCTTAAATTTGTATGGAAGCAGAAAAGATCCCAGATAGCCAAAGGAGCCCTGAGCACAAAGAGCAATGCTGGGGGAATTACTATACCAGATCTCAAAGTATACTACAAAGCTATAGTCATAAAAACAGCATGGTACTGACACAAATATAGACACATAGATCAGCAGAACATCATTGAAGACCCAAACCTGAGTACATGCAATTTCAGCCACCTGATATTCACAAAGAACACACAATGGAGGAAAGACAGCATCTTCAACAAATGGTGCTGGCAAAACTGGATCTCCACCTGTAGAAGATTGAAACTAGATCTTTATCTTTCACCTTGCACAGAAGTCAACTCCAAATGGATCAAAGACCTCAATGTGAAACTGGAAACCCTGAAACTATTAGAAGAAAATACTGGCAGTAATTTACAAGACATAGGTATAGGAAAGTATTTTCTAAATCAGACAGAAGTTGCTCAGGAATTAAGGTCAGCAATCAACAAGTGGGACCTCATTAAACTAAAAATCTTCTGTACAGCAAAAGAAACAATAAAAAAGTGAAGAGAAAACCCAGAAATGGGAAAAAAATCTTCACCATTGACATATCTGACAGAGGTTTAACATCCAGAATATATAAAGAACTCAAAAGAACAAAGAATCGAGAATCCAAATGACCCAATTAAAAGATGGGCTAAAGATCTAAGCTAGGAGCTCTCAAATGAAAAAATAAAGATGGCTCAGAAACATCTCAAAAAGTGCTCAACATCGTTAGTAATTAGGAAAATATAAATTAAAACCACCCTAAGGTATCACCTTACCCCAATCTGACATTCTAGGATCAAGAGAACAAATGATACCAAATATTGGTGAGGATGTGAAGAAAAGGGAATGCTCCTTCCCTGCTGCTGGGATTGCAAACTCACGCAACCTCTATGGAAAACAGTGTGGAGAACTCTTAAAAACTAAAAATGAACCTACCATTTGACCCAGTTACACCACTCCTTGGCATATACCCAAAGGACTCATCCTATTGCAGAGGCACTTGTACAACCATACTTGTTGTTCCTCTTTTCACAATAGCTAAGAGATGGAAGCAACCTAACCACTCAACTGATGAGTGGTTAACAAAAATGTGGTATATTTACACAATGGAGTTCTATTCAGCAGTAAAGAAAGATGAAATAATGAAATTTGCAGGTAAGTGGATGGATCTAGAAACTGTTGTACTAAGTGAAGTAACAGACTCAGAAAAATGAAAGACATATGTATGTTCTCCCTCATTTGTGGATCCTAGCACCAAATCCGTTTAAATTCCATCTTTTAATAAGATGATGCTATATAGCAGTCCCTTCTGCATGAAATAACTACCATCATCATGACTTCAGCTGAGCCTGATCGCTAAACATCATCACAATTGGGCTTGTTCACAGTTGTGCTCCTTCATTAAAGGAGGGCCAAGCAAGGTCATTGGACCCTCACCAGAGTATCCAGCCACTCTTCCCAGCCAATTGTATGTAATTTGGTCCTAATCACACATGGTTTCCTGGATTGGGGAAGGGCTAAAGTAAATAATCTGGGGAAGGCTAGGAAGAGAAGACTTGATCCATGCTGGGTAAAGGCTTTCCAGTGTGCATACCCTCAGGTCATTCATACACCTCAGCAACCCCTCAGTTATCTCCGTAAGTAAGCTCAGTAAATTCATTGGTTCTCCATTAAAACGTTAATCAAACATCGGTTTGATTGAACCTTAAATGGGAATAAGCATTGCTTAGTATCCCCAGGAAAAGTATTCTCACAACAGAGGGACAATTAATTTGTTAATGTTATTATGT